ACCTTTCGGTATAACTTAGATGTTTTAGTTTAGGGGCTAGCTTTGTTGCTCATCTTTGAATTTTTTCTAGGTCATTGATATTGTTTTTACTACTTGGACTCCACACTGGAGCTGCGAATTCCAAGTGTGGTCTAACCAGCGATGTGTAAAGTTGCCTTACCATTTCAGTGTTAAAAAAAGTGAAGCTTTTTCTTATTGAGCATAAGATTCTTTGTGCTTTACTTGTAGCTACTTGAACCTGATGATTCCATTTCATATTGGATGAAACTATTACAAGTGTAGTTCTTTTGTTGTTGTTTTTAGAAGAAAACTTTGATTGTCGTGCTTTATAGTGTAGTTATAGCAAATATTTTTTCTTCAATTCAATTCAATTCAATTCAATATATTCTAAAATAAGTTTTAAAATTTCAAGGACTTTTACAAATAGTACAAGTACTAATCTAAAGTAAAAACCTGCAACATTACAATAAAAGTGATTATAATAACAATAATAATAGTATTGATAATAATTATAGAAATAATATTAACAGTAATAGTAAGATGACGATGAAAAGGAATATTATTAGTAATAATACTAACAATAATAACAAAGATATTATACAATCAACATTAGATAATAGCAATAATAGTGGTAATAACAATTACATAGTATAAGTAGTAAATAAACTTAAGAAAAAATTAAAAAAGCAATAATAGTACTTATTATGTTATAAATAAAAATAGCAATTTACTAATAAAGATGGAAGAATATTATTAATATCAATACTAATAATAACAATAAAAATATGAGAACAAAAAGTTAATAATAAAACTAGTAGGTATCAAGAAAGTAGTAATAATAAAAGCATAACAACATATTTCAGAGTCTTCAGGTATAATTTCTTGCTAAAAAATAGTTAAAAAGACATTTTTTGAAATTAGTAAATGTGCATAACACTGCATTTATTTATGTTAAACTCCATTAACCATGCATTTGACTATTCAGTTAACAAATCAATGTCATTTTGCATATTAGTTAGATCATTATGTTCTTTTATAACAGATATGATTTTAGTATCATCAGCGTATAATTTTGCGATTGAAGAGATATATTGGGGAAGATCATTGATATATAACAGAAAAAGAAGAGGACCCATTACAGAGCCCTGTGGTACACTACTATAAACCTCGCACTAATCTGATACAACTTCACCCATTACCACTTTTTATTTTCGGTTTTTCAAAAAATAATCAATCCAATTTAAAATATTGCCTTTAATTCCAAGTGTGTAAAAAGAAGTGCATGCTATCATTCTCAAAAAATACCTCAAGCTTTGTTCATGCCTACCAGAAATTTCTTTAGTTAATATTTCCTTCAGTCTGCATTTTGCTTTGCATTTTCAATACACTTCCGGTTTAATGAGCTGAAGGGGTGCGCTCTTTCAGTAAACTTGCTCTCGTCAAATTCAAATTTGATAAACAATGGCTAAAAAACGCCTTACTAATTATATGGTGATTTCAATTGTAAACAATCTTGCCAAGACTTTATTGTACAAACATGTCATCTCTAGTATTCTACCAAAAAATTTCTTTAGTCAATATTTCCTTCAGTCTGCATTTTGCTTTGCATTTTTAATACACTTCCGGTTTAATGAGCTGAAGGGGTGCGCTCTTTCAGTAAACTTGCTCTCGTCAAATTCAAATTTGATAAACAATGGCTAAAAAACGCCTTACTAATTATATGGTGATTTCAATTGTAAACAATCTTGCCAAGACTTTATTGTACAAACATGTCATCTCTAGTATCGCATAGAAGAAAGCCAGCAAAGTGAAATTAGGATGATATACGTAGTCTTCATAACTAACATTTTATTGATGAAATATATAATTCCATTAATTTGTATTTGTATTTTTGTTTTATTATATATAACCAAGTTGAAATATTAAGTATTTATGCAGTGATGGGTAATGTTAATATAACTATTGATTTCATTAAATTGAAATGTGATAGTAGACATTAACAAACGAATAACATTAAATTTCATGCTTACTTCAATATAACCAGAAATCCAAAGTTTGGGGAACCAAAAAAAAATGATTCACAAAGTCTCTGTGCGAATATGATGATGTCTGTAAGAATTTATTATTGTTCTTTGAATATATATATATATATATATATATATATATATATATATATATATATATATATATATATATATATATATATATATATATATATATATATATATATATATATATATATATATATATATATATATATATATATATATATATATATATATATATATATATATATATATATATATATATATATATATATATATATATATATATATATATATATATATATATATATATATATATATATATATATATATATTTATTTATTTATTCTGTATTATAATATAATATAGAATAAATTAAAAACAAAATTTAATATGGAAATTGTAACTTTTTTATATGTAATTTTAGAATTTCAACAAAAAAAAAAAATCTCTTCTAACTTGCATTGTTGACATATTGGAGAGTTGAGCTTATTAAAGCTCATTAACTAATAATGTTGGTAAAAAAGACGCGGAAAAAATTGGTAACATGAACAAAATTTCAACAAATTAAGTAACAACTTTCTTTGCTACGCAGAAATAACTATTTTATGCAAGTTTTTATTTACCGTCATGGTAATTTCTTTTAATTTAGGTTAACGTCACACTCTTTAATGTCATGTTTTAACATGTTTTGAGCAAATAGATACGAGCAAAAATTATCGTTTAACAGACAAAGATATGTTGTGTGGTTGATGGTGAGTTTAATTTCATATATTTATATTTAAGATTGATATTCTATAAAAGCGTAAAATATTTAAAGTGTTTCAAGATATTTCGTTTTGTTTAGTGAGCGTGTTGCCATATCACGTGATTCAGTAAAAAACGTATTAAAATAAACTCCAGAAAAAAAAAATGTGTAGTTTTTATTATTTAGCAAGAAGTCCAAGCTGCTGCAGCATATTTTGAGCCTTTATCGTGGCTATTTTTTATGCCTAATAAGTTAAAAACTGTAATTGGTACAAACATTATCAATAAACAGAAAACAAAAAAATATTTACACCTTTTAAAAAAATGAGTTGGTTTTTCGACCATTAACCAATATCCTGTAGATCTTTTTTGCGACGTCTTTTTTTCACCTTAGATACGACGTCATAAAAATGTTACACTTTCTGACTTTAGACCGACATAAAAATGATTAACTTTGCGACGTCGAAACAATGTCGTACTGACGTCGTTGTGCTTGCTGGAACTAAAGTGTGGTGTCTTTCATAAATCAATAATTGGGCCTTTGATTTTTTTAATTTAAGTAACAATGTTTTTATGAGATCGAAAAGAAATTTAACTAAATGTTTTCTGGCAATAACAAGTTTTTTATCTTCGCAAAAATTATAAACAAATTGTGAACAGAAATAAATCATAAATTAGAAAAACTTTCAAAATGGTTTAGGGCAAACAAACTCTTAAGTCAAGTAAAACAATGTTTTCTTTGTTTCATCCTCCTTTTAAAAAAATGACGTTCAATCTATTTTTACGACATTTTATTTTGAAAATAGAGAAGTGAGCTAGGAAAATATTTCTAAATATTTGAGTGTTTTTATAAACAATAATCTAAATTGGAATAAAAATATTGCATATTTAGGTAGTAAAAGATTCAAAAATATGAAAATAATCAAATAACAAAAAATAATAAGAAATAACAATCACGTTATTTAAAAAAAATACCCAAAGAAACGTATTGCAGTTTGTTTAAAGTTATTTAAATATTGTAATATAGCATGGAAAGAACATTTAACACTAAATTAGAAACTCTCTACTGTAAACATAGATATTCTAAACCAGTGATAAACCTTAATAATTAAAAGGAACGCTCAGAACCTCTTTTTGAACAAATATATCTATTTAAACTGTTTAAACTAAATATATATATATATATATATATATATATATATATATATATATATATATATATATATATCAAGTATATTTGAAAAACTCCTTCAAAAAATTCCTTGAAATTTATATATAGCCTTTATAAACAAAAACCATAGTTTAAATACTCATTGCGCACAAATAGTTTCCTGTTAGAGCTTTCATGCTAAGATAAGTAAAAGCAATTTAAAATTGCTTGTGGACCTCATACTCGGAATAATTTTTACTAACTTATCTAAATATTATTGATTTTAAAATAGTAAGTCGCCTTAAACTGTTAAAAATTGTATTTAAAACTATAAATTTACTGATTACTACTTAAAATTTTTACTGTTTTTTTTTCTAAACTTTTTTACTGCTAGCACTTTATATATATCCTTATTTATTTTGAACTTTTACAAGTACATGTAAATATTTTTACAGAATAAAATAAATGTATTTGTGTTCTGTTACTTTATATTTTAAACCATTAAAGTATAATGATTATATTTAAAACTTTTGCGAATATGTTTTTATATATATATGATAATGTAAAGCCATTCTTAATAGTAAGACCGTTTAGTTTTCTAAAATTTAACTGCATTTTTAGTTTAAAATAGAAAAGAATGCAACAAAAAGTTAAATTTATTTAGTATTTTTGTGAAAGCACCTTTTGTTTTTAGTTTTTATTTCTATAATTTTTGTTCAACGAAACTTTATTATATACTTACAAAGTTGTAACATTAAGGAGAAAAAATAAAACTTGATATAAAATAATATCAATAAAGTGATATCATAGCAGCAAACATAAGATTTGTGAAAGAGAGAGATCAAATCTAACAGGCACAAAATGCCCGTTGAACAAAAGTATTAAGGATATCCTACGGGCATGTGTCTTCAACCAGACGTCGTATAGACGTCCCATGGACGCTTGTGCCCGTTGGGAACGAAGAAGTGCTCAATAAGGTATAGTACCAGTTTATAAAAAAAAGTAAAAAATTTTACTATTTAAGTTAAAAGTTAAACAAAATATTTATAAAAGCTTACCCACACAGCTATGTTTTTTATTGTCCAAAACCCATCCATCTATACATGAGCACAAATAACTTCCTATTGTATTTTCACATATGCTGTTATTCCAAGAACACAAATTTGTAGTGACGCATTCGTTGTTATCTTAAAAAAAACTTTAAAAGTAAAATACCATTAAAATAATTCTATTTTTTAAAACTTTTAAAACTTAGTATCTTTTTTTTTTAAACTAAATGGAAAAATAGCATTTATATCCATTAAAAAGTAATAAAAAATTTATTATTAGCTCTTATTAAGATAAAAGGTTTTGAGGAATATTTATGAACTTTTTCTTGAAAATGTTTTTATCTAAGTAGCTAACTACAAATAATATTAACGGCAGTAGTTTACATGGTAACAATAGCAATTATTTAATATTTCAGCCACTTATTTGAAATCAGATTTACAAACATAGGTTCTTTTTAATAAAGCTGATTTGAAACTTTGATACAATAAATTTATCACAAAAACTAGTATTCTTTTAAAAGAGTGTTTAAAGATTATCTCTTTATACAAATAAAGCTACTTGAATACTTTTGGTTTTTATTAAAGGGCAAATTTCCTTTTAATACAGTCTTTTAAATAAATTAATTTTTTCTGTAGCTCAACTAATATTTTTTTTGCCACAAATGTTGCTGTCCAATTGCAGTAATTGTTAAATTTTAGCTAGTTATCATTTTAAACTATTATTAATATTAAATTTTTTTTAGTAATACTGTTTTAGATATCTCAATAAGAGCGTACAGCAGCGTATTAAGGATAAACATTTATCTAGAATCTTCATCCCTCCGTAAATTTTTTTATGAAGAAACAGGAAAGGAAAGGGGTTTTCCTTTTTTTTTCTTATTTAAAAAATTAGACAAATAAGAATTTTTGGAGCATTTAGGAACAGCTTTAGTAAAAGGATAAGGCTTACATGAATGACGAGTAACACAATAAGGAATTTTAGTAGATTGCACAAAAGACGGTAGCTTTTTAGAGCAGTGTCCATTAAAGTATTTGTAGAAAAGAGAAAAAGAAGCAAGATTTAAACGATGTAAAATTGGTTGGAGGTTGGCAGCAAGAACAAGTTCAACTATGTTTAGATTGCGTTTTTGTACTTTCTCTAAAAGAAAAATAGCATCATTTGAAGATATGGCAACAGTATTCTATACAAAGACGGATTTAAAACTTACAGAGATAAAAAAATTCTAAGTAAGAAAGTGAAAAGCGCAATAAAGAGCTTTGCAGATATTATTTTTGCAAAGTATTAACTCTTACTTCTATCTTTCTTTTGCAAGAAAGATAGAAGTAAGAGTTAATACTTGAAGATGAAGGGTTGATAATTCATCGAGTACATTATTGTTCATTAATATAGGAAATTCTAGTTTATTGTAATAAGGATTAACTAGAAAAAGTAAGTTTTATCTGAGTTAAAGTTTAGCAGCCACTGGGAGCCACTGGGAGCCACCAGCTGTTGCAAAAGTGATATACTTTTAAGCTCAAATGGCCCTCCAAGCAATCAGAAAGTGTTGGATTCTTATCAAGTGAAGAGTATATGGTAGTATCATCCCCTTAGATGTGAAAGTTTCTAGGAGATAGGTGATGTAAATTTAAAAAATTATACAGCCAAAGATAGAAGTTACAGGATATGAAAAATAATGCTGTTCGTCAAGGACAACATTTATACCACAATTGGTAAGAACAAATTTAATATTCTTAAAGATGTTACACCGATTAAAGAGCGCTTGCGGAAAAGATCAGCATGCCAAACTTTATCAAAGGATTTAGAAATTTATGGAGCGATAACCTGACTTTTCTTCATCTATCTTATGCTCAATAAAACCTTTTAATACCTTTAACAATTCAGCAGTAGAACATAAAGATCGAAATCTATATTGATGATCAGAAAAAATTTTATTAGATTTGAGATGAGAGGTTAAGTGTTTCTTAATTAAAGTCTCAAAAACCTTGGTTATGATAGTAAGAAGGCTAATGGAACGGTAGTAAGATAAGTCAAATCGCCTTCATATCAAATAAGTATTATTTTTTAATAACCAACAAACTTTCAAAAAGCAATCTATGTTCATTTTTTTTTTATTTTTTTATATACTTCATAAAGTTCTATTTTTCTCTAATATCAATAACGCGTCCTGCAAGTTAGTATTTTCTTTTTTTTTTTTTTTCTGACTTTCATTTTTTAGAGCATTTGCTTTGCTGAACAATGATATTTTGTTTTCTTATTTGGTTGTACCACTCTTAATCTTTTTCTAGCATCTTTAAAGTAAGTAGACCCATTTGATATTTTAGCTGCGCAACAATAACATCTGTTGATATTTTGTCAGTAACAAGGTTCTTATTAACACTAAACTCCCCGTTCAACCAATGTCTGTCCATTACTTTGAGACAGAACCAATTTAATAACAGTTGAAAACTTTTTTATGTCAATGGTTTTGAATTAAAAATCAAAAAAGCGTTTATTCTTTTGATCATATCTAATGAAAACATCCTTACTCATTGCAAATTCTAATGACATAAACTTTGAGAACTTTTAAATTACTTTTCAGCAGTTGAAATGAAATTATGCATACATAGAATTTTTCAATCTTCCTTCAGTCTTCAAAATAACAGCATTATTTTTTCTAAGCTTTGATAGTGATATTTTAGCAACTAGGCCAATATCAGTTTTACTGGGTTTATTTTGCAAATTATTTTTGGTAAGTTTAGATCAACTCTTAATAGTTTCAGATTTAATGAACGTCCTAAGAATACTCTTAATCAACTGCACAAGATCATCATTTTTAGAGCTTTAAAAACGATTTAAACATGCTCACCAGATAGCCAAAGAATTGGAATCTTTAGTCAAGTTATTTTTTAACAGTACTTATAATGAAACTCATATAACTTACAAGATGGCCGTTTACTTTTACCTAGAGTCTCCAAATAAAAAACAATCTTTTAAATAGATTGCCAAACAGTTAGTAGTCTATTTGCTATCTTTTTGTCTTCAAAATATCTAGTTGTGCAAAAAGCAGGAACATAGACCCTTCAATGATACTGATAACACAGATACCTTCAATAATAAGAAGTCACTTCTTCTGGCAGGATAATCGTGAAATAAGGTAAAGTAGCTTTTGAATGTTTCTTTTTTTAATTAACGAATAAGTTGATTCTACTCTACTATGAAAGCATCATAAGTTGTGTAAAGGGAACGGCAGCCTACGTCAATAAGTTTAAATTTTTAAGTCAACTCTGCGTCTATCCATAGAGCCCTGAAATACCTTGCTGATATTAGCTTACTTATATTTTCATTTAAATGATTCATCAAATCAAAACGATTGCATTTCAAAATAAACAAGAAATCCCAATACGTGAGATATCAACTTGCATTTTTACTGCATTCCATTATCGAATGAGTAAATAAAATTAATAAATTTGAATTTTTTTGTTGAGGAATTCATCGAAGGGCACGTCAAGAATACAGGCTCAGTTGTTATTTAATTAAAACTTAAAAATGAGGCCCAAGACCATAGATGATGTATATCCAACTCTATTTGAATGCCTCTAAAAAGTTTTAGCAACCTCACAGTCAGGATACATAGGTTAGAACAAACTAGCGACATCTTTGCTTAAATTGTTAGAAACTTTATTTAAGCAAAAATGCAATGCCCACAATATTTCTGCACATATTATATTTAGAGATTGCTGCTTCATAAGGGTTCCTGTTGATAACTGTCAGTTAGCTTTAAATTAGACTCTTCTGAATTAGGTAAATTAATGTTTTTAGAAGCACATAATTTAAAAAAACATAAAAAATTACTTGCACTACATTACAAATTACTTTTTTTTTTCTTGTGACTTTTTAGTGCTTAAATATAATTAATGCTGGAGAGGTTAATGTTATTGCTCTTGACATTTTTAAAGCTTTAGTTAAAGTTTGGCATGCAGGTCTTCTCCATTTCTTCTAACGGTGTATCAGGTAACGTGTTTAGGATTATTAAGTCCTGCCTTTCCAATCTTAGTATAAAACTCTCCTCGATGGACTGCACTCTTCTTTATATTCTGTAAGTTCCGGGGTTTCTCAAGATTCTATCCTTTGCCCTATATTCTTTTTAATTTACATTAACGATCTTCCAGATATTCTTACACTTAAGTTGGCATTGTTCACTTATGATACTACCATTTATATTTATCATGATAAGAAGCCAACACTCTCTAATTGCTTGGATGGGGATTTGAGCTTGAAAAAGACCTCACTTCTGCTACAGCATGGGGCTCACCGTGATTGGTGATCTATCACAATAATTTAAATCTTCCTATAATAACGAACGGTGATATACTTGATGAGTCATGTATTCTTCATCCTCTAGGATTAACTCTTACTTACAATCTTTCTTGAAAACAATATACAAAGTTCGTTTCAAAATTAGCATCTGCTAAGGTTGCATCTCTTTATTGAGCTCAATACTTTCTTACTCCAGATTCTCTATCTCTTTAAATCTCAAATCCGGCCTTGTGTGGAATACTGCTGCCGTATCTGAAGCGGATCTTTTAATGATGCTCTTTCTCTTTTAGACAAGTTGCAAATACGCATTGTCAACATAGTTGGATTTGCTTTTGCATCTTCAACCATTATCATTTCGTCTTAATGTTGCTTTTCTTTCTTATTTCTACAAATACTATAATGGGCGCTGCTCTAAAGAACTAGCAGCTTTTGTTCCATCTACTAAAATTTATTATCGTAATACTTTTCATTTGATTAGGTCTAATTCATTTTCTGTGACTGTTACTAAATGCTTTAAAAACTCTTATTTCTTTTTTTTTTTTTTTCTTAAACATCAAATTTTTGGAATTCACTTGTTCCTTCTTGCTTTCCTGATTCATATAATTTGAAACCTTTTAAGTTATCTGTCAATTGTTATCTTGCTCTACCATCTTCATCATTTCTCTTCCAGTAAATTCAGCTCTAATAGTGGTTGCTTGCAGCCTTGTTGGAAGCAAAATTGAAAAAAAAAATTACGTATGCTTGAAAGTTAATTTTTTTTATGGTATAATTTCCATTTACCATTGGTATTATATTTTTCTTTCATTAGCTAAGAGTCAAAATGAAGATAACTGTCTTTGTT